CACAACAAATGACGCGCGTACCTTCCGACAGATTCTGCTTTCCGAACACATAAAGTGTTATATTTGTTGACCGAAATTCGGCTGCAGATTTATCGATATAGCGAAACAAGATGCTTAGCAGCAAGGTTGTATGCCTTCGAGGACAACTGCGAAATACACCGATGTTTATGGTGGTTTCTGTGCTTATGACTAGTGTATACGCATGTGCAAATAAGCATGAGATGGTATGAAACCTGCAAGTGTAGATCTTGGGGGGGTGACCATATATATATATAGAGAATCAGTGTTATGATATGAAACTGCTTTCTGAAGATACTCTTAAAGAAACAGTTCAAGCAATAATGTAACACAATACAACATGATGCAGTTATCCTATGGTCTATATATATATATAGACATATTTTTGTGTGTACATATATATATACACACACGCTATATGATAATGTGTATAAAATATGCGGTAGGGCTTGGGCTTTATTGTATAATATATTATTCTGTACCATAGCAGCATAGAAACAAATATTAACATTCGACATCCAAACTAAGAAACATAAGTAAGAGTAGTTGTCTATTAACGCCAAGTTCCGCATATAGTATTCATATAACTATATAGCAATACGAGTCTTTGTTATATAACGTTAGACTGACTTGTATCATATTTTGCAGTGCTGCCAAACCCTGGAATTTACTATTGATGTAAGAGTCTGTTTGCCTCAATATACATATCATAGTGAACTAATATCAATACAAGATAGAATAATGCAGTGCTTGTATGACAGATCGCATAGAGTCTTATCTCGGTCATGTCAATACGGCATGTTGCTTCCAACTGTAAATTGCTTCGAAGCCCACTTGTACGTAAAGACTTGGGCCTTGAGCACCCCCCCTCCCGGCCACCCCCACGCCTCGCGAGCTCCCCGCAGCCCCCGCACCCCCCTGCACCCCACCCAACCCACGTCCCGCAGGCAAAAAAGAAGGCCACAAAACAAATAACAACCGCTCCACAAGAAAACCCGGAAGACCCTCCTTCGCCAGCTTGGATCATCACTCAGGGCATGAACAGGGCTTGAGCAGCCAAAGTTTCAAGCATCATACTGAACAAAACAGGAGACAATGAAGACACGTGTGCAAGTGTGCATGATCCAGACCGTAGATCCAAGCTGCAAAGAAGACAACAATTTCTCCGGCACATCAGGCGAATTTGTTGGATTAAGACTCACTGCCCAGCTTTTGTTCCTGCGGAAGCTAGAGTTGTTTAGCGAAACTCGGGAACGAGACCGAGGTTAAAAGTCTTACAAGTCAAGCGCCTAGAGTTACAAGTCAACGGTGTCTAGGCTCACTCGGTCTTTTGGCCAAGGTAGTATCCCTGAGCTCTTGTATTTTATTAGCTGGGAAAAGGTTCTTTATGACGAGAATTCGAGTTTAGGGATTTGGGATATAACGAGCTTCTTTGGGACACAACCTAGGCCTATCCGCCTAACTCAAAAGGAGGGAACTGAGAAGAACGGCCAAGAAGGCCCGGAGAGCCAGCTGCGAAGTCAAAAGTCGGAAGCTGTCGCTGTCCTGGGTTGGGCGGGCGGGACCGGAAAGTTGCGACTGCATCACAAGCTGGTGGTTCGTCTTAAATTACGAGAGCGTGAGATCTAAGACTCACTGCCCAGCTTTTGTTCCTGCGGAAGCTAGAGTTGTTTAGCGAAACTCGGGAACGAGACCGAGGTTAAAAGTCTTACAAGTCAAGCGCCTAGAGTTACAAGTCAACGGTGTCTAGGCGCACTCGGTCTTTTGGCCAAGGTAGTATCCCTGAGCTCTTGTATTTTATTAGCTGGGAAAAGGTTCTTTATGACGAGAATTCGAGTTTAGGGATTTGGGATATAACGAGCTTCTTTGGGACACAACCTAGGCCTATCCACGTCCCCCCCGAGTCGCTTCGCGATCAAGTCGCAACTGCCTGTGGTACCACTGAAAGGGCAAGGCCAAAGGCTTGGAAGTAACGTCGAAGCGCATAAGCGCCAAAGAGGCCATGGCATCATTCAAATAGATGCGCGCGGTGCGATCGGAGCTCCAGCGCCCAAGCTGACGAACGGCGTCAAAGGAGGGGTTCTTCTGAAAATACATCGTGGCTCCACCACGACGCAAGCTGTAGGGACGGAACCCCCATTGACCAAGCTTGAGGCGTTCAAGCCCGTCTTGAAAGTGCTTGCGGAAAAGGTAGGACGAAAAAGGGATAAGGAAGGCAGAGGGCGCAACGGCTTGCTTCCAACGCGCCAAAGCGCGGCAGACATGGCCAACACGAAGAGTCACGGAATCGTCTGTCCCGCTTCTCTGCGAAGTCTTGGTGAGGCCAAGGCTGAGGACAGCAAAGTCTTGTCGCGGGCTTATCTGCACTTGGGAAGCCTGAAGAGAAAGGAGCTCCCCTGTACGTAAGAGAGAGTAGAAAGCAACTTGCACTGCAAGGGCCATCTGAGATTGCCCTTTTAAGGCAAAAGCTCCAGACAGAGCTTGAAGGAGTTCCTCAGGCAAAGGTGCGGCCCTGGAAGGCATCTCATTCTTCTGCCAGGTCTTGACCAACCTCCAAGAGAGAGCCAGACAGCCTCTCAAGCTAGGTTTGAGATCTTGAAGCCCGGACAGGCCATCTTTAGCTGCGGAGACGCTTTCACCTTCCTCCCACAAAAACTCTATGTACTCAGAAAACAAGAAGTCTAGAGCTGAAGGTTCATCGGGAACACGCCGACGATACAGCTTGGCAAAAAGGTAGAACTGGCGAAGTGCTGAATCATACCGTACGCGGGTCTTTGGGGCGACTGTGATGGACCTGAGTGGTCCAAGGGCTTTGCGGCTTGCTTTGCGATCCTGCTTAGTCCGACCTTGAACAATCGTCTTCACCTTGCCCATTTTTTGCGGACGCGGGCCCTGCGACTGGGCCGATCGGCTGGGTTCGAGTTGGTCGAGACATACGCAGGAATCAAGTGCAAGCCGGTCGCCAAAACTAAGGAACAAAGACGGTACATCAGCGTCTGTATCTTTAAAGAAGAGCTTCGTCCGCGGTTCAAAACATGCAAACACACCATGGAGTCAGTCAGGTGCAGAAACCGAATTCGAAGTTGCTTTTGGCGTAAGACACGCCACCGAATGGTCGTGTAGATCGCGCGAAGTTCCAAGCGATTTATGTGGTCATCGCAGGGCTTCCACTTCCAGCCACATATCTCTCGCCAGCTCCAAAGGGCCGCCGGTATTGAGTTGCGAAACTTCTGGTAGGAACGAGAGCTGGCACCTACCGAAACCAGGAAGTCTTCACCTTTACTGGAAACTTGGGTGAGAAGTTTGCGGACTAGTGTCTCCTCGCTGGCGCTTGGAACTCTAGCTTGATGAAGCGCCCTCCAAGAAAGGAGAGCAGCCCCATACTTGAGCGACTGACCCGCAAGGACTTGAAGTAGCTCTTTCAGGCTGGTGACCAAACAGAGCCCGAGAGGCGAAAGGAGTTGAAGAAAGAAAAAAGCCACAACTGGGACACTGGAAGTGTTTCCCAAAAGGGAGAGGCGAACGTCATCATGATGGATTGGGGACTTCTTGGTATCAGTCTTGTTGAGACAGTTGTAAGTGTAGTCCACGGGGAAGCCCAACATGCGCTCTCGCTCACGTGCATTGGGAGGTCGGGCCTCATCCTTGCGCCACAAAAGGTGGCGATCCAGGTATTGAAAAGGTGGAAATCTGAAACGATCGTTTTTCCAGCGTTCTTTTTCTGCTGGGCCACAACGATGAAGACCTGCTGCCGCGGGGCTGCCTGTGGAAGATGCTTGTGGAACGGTGAAGGCTGGGAGATGACTCGAGTCAGGATGTAGCTTCCAACCTTTCTCAAGAAACTGCAAAGGATCCGAAGGGCATTCGAAGCGAATATCGCCGTAACCAGAAGGATGAGACGACCCAGGTGGATGAAGAATCACACCTTCTTCCGAATCTAGTCCCCAATCAAACCAGTAAAGTCTTTCGCGACGACATAGAGAGAGCCCACCCGCGCAGGCTCGGTAGGGGAGGACTTGACTGGACCGTGTGTGCTCTTCGCGGTCTGAAACATCCATTGTGAAAAAGGACTCGTGGAAGAAGTGGACGTGGCACCAGTTGAACGACGACCGTAGCATCGAAACGATTGGTTGCACCAGACCATGTAGGGGGCTTCGCGAACCAGTGATGCTAGCTTCTGCTCCATTGTGGTAGGGGGGACCGGCTCCCACCAAAACTAGTTTGGCTGAAGATGCCTTCGTAGCCCACTCATCGCAACAACTTTGATCAATTGTAGCCACGTCTTCATAGTGCACCACATCCGGGAAGTGAGTTTCGACCACCCTGCGACAAGTGGGGTCGCTCTCCACCGATATGTGTAGAACCACGCGGGCTCGAATACACTCCAAGGCCACTCTCATCGCGGAAATTCCGTCAAAGAGTCCAATGCACACAACCCCAGCTTCAGGCACCTCAACCGAGGAATCACCACGAAACTCCGCTGAGGCCACGGAATCTCCCAACGATGTAATTCCAGAGCTGGCGCAAATGCCTCCCCCAAGGTTGGACGCATCACTCGCCGTAACAACTGAGCTCACTGAAGTTCGGAAGTCCATGTGCACCAAAGGTAGCAATCCCAGGAAAACGAGAAGCTCTGACATGACACCAGTGGGAATTCTCAAAACCTTGGCCGAGGTCAGGTCAAAGCTATGGATGAATTTCCAGACATAGTTGAGGCAGCTCATAAGAGGTCGACGAAACATCGCAAAGTACACAAGGCCACCACAAATCACTTGCATCTGTTTCTGGGTTGCTTTGCCCACTCGCAATAAAGAGAGGGTCGCACCGACATACTTCTGTAACTTATCCTTTTTGGGGCGCGCCGTTCCAGCACAACCATCAATCTCCGCACCTTGGATTTCGGCAAACGTAGCATGCCTCACAGATTTCTTCGGGTTCAACGGAACCCCCCAGCGGAAGTACTCCTCAAGGATGGGTTCCAAATCTGGTGGGGTACTCCCTTTGATGACGGATGCGGCCTCGGGATTCTCTTTCTCCAAAAGGTCAAAGTTGTCGAGGTATTCTCGCCACAACGGATCTGCCAGTGATGCTGGTCGATCTTTGCGCACCTCCGCGCTGCCCACGCAACGAGTTGGGCCCCCTTGGGCTCGTGAGATGAGGTTCCGGTGGAGATGTTGTGCCACTCCCACTGAGTTGAGATAACCCATCGGCAAAACCTTTGAGCACAGATAACACGGTTCATCGACGTGAGGCGGAACCAATTCCGAAGGAACTGGCCGGTTGAAACTCAACATCGGAAACCACTGTTCGGGGAGCGCGAAGAGGTAGAACATGCATCTCAAGTCCTCACTCGAAACCACCAAGTGTTCATCAGGGTGAAGCTCCAAGCTGTTCATTTGAGACAACAAGGGGAGAGTCCCGGTGTCACCCTCCACTGATCTGGAAACTGAGTTGATGGGAATCAAATTCATAATGAGTCGGTGGACCTCGTGTCCGTTGGCCTGCTCCCCTTTCTCCACTCCGAAAAGTCCGTTATGGATGGGCTTGCCGTTGGCATGTAGAAGGGCGCTTTCGGGTAGTACACAACAAAGGTTGAAGCGAACCAAACCCAACGCCAAATCAGACCAATCCTCATCCCTAACCATAACCTTCGACGACTTAATCGCCTCCTCCTCAAATCCCGGTCGTAGGAAAAGCTGTGGGTCTAGGAGCAGCTCGCGGACACCCCCATCGGCCAAATCCAGAGCTGAAATAGACCCGATATGCCCAAAGGGAAGTGCTGGCTCCACATTCGCCCAGCTGGTCCACTTTGCCACTTTCACCTCCTCTCCCGAATAGCTGATACCACGCACTTGAAAAAACTGTTTCCAATCAATGGGTTCTATACGAAAACTGCCCCTTGTGAAAAGTTGAATTCTGCCTCGAAGAT